AAGGAGAAAGATACATTTTAATAATTTTTCCCTGAGCATTTCCTGAAGGATGCATAGTGCACCTGGAGACCACCAAAGTATCAAGTTAGTTCATGCAAAAAGAACAAGTTAGGGAATTATATGAAAAGTCAGCAAGTCAAAACTGATGCAGAGGCAAAGAAAAGGATGAAAGAGCTGCTAGAAGTGCAGAATGCGTATATCCTTGGGACAAGAGAGAGGAAAATAAAGTTCTAATTTGATCAGAGCCTCATGGCCTTGGTCAAAGCCGACCCTTGCATCTACCAAGAGCATTTTTTTTTTTTTTAAATAGGGTATGTAGTCCAGGCTGGCCTTGAATTCAGAGATTCTCCTGCTTCAGCCTCCTGAGTGCTGGGATTACAAGTGTGTACCTCCACTCCCAGCTCTCATCACCCTTCTTTCCCCTGCCAGTGGGACTCCTGTCCTATGTGAAAGTATAATGGTTTTGGAAATGAAGTTAGCTGCAACTAAAAGCTAAATGACACCTGTCTAAGTTTCACCTGGGGGAAAGTTGAGCAATCTGGGAAAAGCGACATCATAAGAAATTCTAGTTATCTATAAAGAGTCAATCAGAGCCAGGTGTGGTGGTACCTTATAACCAGCCACTTGGGAGCTTGAGGCAGGAGGATCACAAATATGAGCCCAGCCTGGGCAACTTGTAGTATCCTATTTTAAAATCTTAAAAAGGCTGAGGGTATAGCTCAGTGTTCCCAAGATTTAATTCCACTATTTTTTAAAAAAAGTGTGACTCAGAGCCTATGAGCTCCAAATGATTAGTGATATTTCTTCTCAGTGGTGGTATCAAGGCCTAGAAGGAAACCACCAAAGCAAAGCTCTTGGAACCTCTAAGTTAGCCTGAAACTGGGGCCACCATACTGTGCTGTGATTTGCACTGCTCTCCCTGCCCAAGAGGAGCAGTGGCAGATCAGGAAGTTCAGAAGATCCTGAGGTTTTTCAGTCACAACTATAAGCTGTAGTTCTTATACCTTCAAGTTTAAAGAAGTGAAGTTTGATTTCAGGAAAGGGGACTGAAAGAACCCCAGCACCTGGATTTCCACTAAATGCAGCTAGTTGAAGTTCACTTTGGAAGTTCTTGAAGCCCTTGTTTCCTTCATGAGTTCAAATGATAAAAAACGAAGTTGGAACAATGCCTCTCCAAATCCCTCAGTGGGGTATATACACAGATGTGGTAGGAAAGACCAGCAGGCCAAGACCTGGCCAAGACCAGTAGGCAAAGGGGCACCAAGTGGGGCCTCCATCTTGTCTGCCCTCCAGGTGATGCCTCCCTGCAGGTGTGCTACTTACTGCTGATGACATCTGACATCCCGAGTCACTTCTGTTTAGCTGGAGCACTTCCTGGCCAGTATCAACTCCTACTTCCTGCCAGCCCCAAGTAGGGAAAATACCTACTTAATTAAGATGGTGGTTCAAAAGGCTTAAAAAAGGACAGTTCCCCACTCACAGGATCATTAGCAGTGTCTAACCAGTTACTTCACTGCTGGGAACACTCTGAGTAGGCTAACTTAGAAATCCATCGGGATGGCCTAGTCACTTTACCATATCAAGAACAGTGGCATTCCTTCCCACCAGTAATAAACAACTGCAAGCTGTAAATACAAGATCCCACTCAAACAAAAAACCATAAAAGAGGTAGGAATAAACCTAACACAAAATGTGTCAGCTAGATGGAGAAAAGTGTAAAGCCAGACTGAAGAGTACAGCAGAATAAATCAACTGGTGAGACTTGCCAATTTCCTAAAGATAAAACTAGAACTAGTGGTTGGGAAGGAAAAAAGTTAAAAAATAAAAATTAAAAATTAGATAAAGCTAGGTGTGGTAGTGTACATCTGTAATCCCAATACTCTGGGAGACTGAAGCAAAAGGATGGCAAATCTGAGGCCAGCCTGGACTGCATAATGAGACTGTCTCATAATCCCAGCACTCAGGAGGCTGAGGCAGAAGGATCTGTGTCCAAGGCTAGCCCACCACACTATGAGTTTAAGGCTGGCCTGAACTACATACCAAGACCAAAAAAAGGAATAAATTCTAGTATTCTGTTTATCAGGTAGGGTGCCTACAATTAACAATAATGTATTCTATATACCAAAATGGTATAATTGACATTGTGAAATAGGAAGAAAAGGGCTAAAGGTGTAGAGGAAGTGGGAAGGGTAGGGGAAAGGAAATAAGGGAAAAGAAAAAATATGAGAAAATGGAAATAAAGTTTTTGTAAATAGGGAAGGGAGGAGGGGGTGAAGGGAGGGCAGGGGTATAGGGAGAAAATGAGAACCAAGACCTGTCATATAAAGGTACAAGACCCCAATGATGAATGTAACTGTACTGTATACCTAAAATGTACCAATAGACTCAATGAAAAAAAAAATTCATGGTTGACATGATAGGTGTCAATTTCCCATTTGACACGTTTCTGTAAATATATCAAAATATCACACTGTACACCATAAATACATAAATTGTTGTCAGTTAAAAAAGACAAAAGCAGGCCCGGGATATAGCTCAGTGGCACAGCACCTGCCTAGCAAGCACAAGTTCCTGAGTTCAAAAATCCCCAGTACCCCTCCCCACCAAAAGAGAGAAAGAGAGAGAGAGAGAGAGAGAGAGAGAGAGAAAGCCAGGCATGATAGTGCACACCTATAACTCCAGCACTTGGGAGGCTGAGGTAAGAGGATTGCTGTGAGTTCAAGGTCAGCCTGGGCTGCATAGGTGAGCTCAATTCCAGGCTGAACTACATACCAAGACCCTATCTCACAGGAAAAGTGGGGGAAGCTAGGTGTGGTGACACATACCTGTAATCCCAGTACTCCCAGTACTCTAGGAGGTTAAAGCAGGAAGATCCCAAATCCAATCCCCGCCTTGGCAATTTGATAATTTAGCAAAACTCTGTCTTACAAACTAGGCTGGGAATGTAGTTCAAGGTGAAGGCCCTGGGTTCTATCCCCAGAACTGCAAAAAAGCAAAACAAATAAAAAAACCACCAAGAAACAAATGAAGAAAAGTATGTACAAAAGTAACCAGGAAAATACAAGTAAACATGTTTATAGGTTTTATTAAGGAAGATATTCTTGAATAAGAAATATCACTCAAAAGGCTAAGACAGGAAGATCACAAGTTCAAGGCCAGTCTAAGCAATTTAGAGAGACCCTGTCCCCAAAATAAAAAGGGGTGGGGATGTAGCTCAGTGCTCCATGGGTTCAATGCCCAGTACCAGAAAACAAACAAGTAAATAAATCATAAAAAGCCAAAAAATATAAGTTAGAAAGACAGAGGAAAAAAAAAAGATATAAATTTGGTTCCATCAAAAATTAAAATCCTTGGGCTGGGGATTTAGCTCAGTGGTGCCACCACCTGCCTCGCAAGCTCAAGGTCCCAAGTTCAATCCCTGGTACCAAAAAAAAAAATTAAAATTCTAAAAAAAAGTTAATTTAAAAAATAATAGAGGCTGAGGCAGGAGGATCATTGCAAATTAGAGGCCAACCTGGACTACAAAGAATTCAAGACCAGCCTGAACTGCATAGTGAGAGCCTTTCTCAAAACAAAACAAAACAAAACAAAAATTTAAAAATAAAAACAATAAATATGAGCCAGGCATGAAGGTTCATGTCTGTAATCCCTGCACACTGAGAGGCTGAGGCAGGAGGAATGCAAGTCTGAGTCTTATCTGGGCAACTCAGTGACTCATAAAAAGCGTTGCATACAGCTCAGTAGAAAGACCTAGAATTCAAACCCCAGTAATACAAAAATAAAATAAAACCACACTTAAAAGTACACTATTTCAGGGCCAGGGATTTAGCTCAGTAGTTCTGCTGCCTGCCTTACAAGTGCAAGGTCCCTAGTACAATCCCTGGTATGAAAAAAAAAAAAAAAAGTATACTATTTCAAAGGCAAATAATGGAAAAATTTTAAATGAAACTTTTTAATAAAGAATGATCATGGGCCGGGGATTTAGCTCAGTGGTTCCGCCGCTTGCTTTGCAAGCACAAGGTCTCAAGTTCAATCCCCGATATCAAAAAAAAAAAAAAAAAAAAAAAAGAGTGGTCACATTAAAAAACTGGTGATAAGGGCCAGGGACTTAGCTCAGTGGCAGTGCGTCTGCCTTGCAAGTGCAATGTCCTGAGTTCAATCCTTGGTACCCAGAAAAACAAAAAACAAAAAAACTGGTACTATGAGGTGTTGGTGCAACCACTCTGCTGTATACAGGGTTGATGGCTGTTTGGTCAACACATTCGAAGGGCAACTTACCAGTTTTTAAAACTTAAAATACACTTACCTTTACACCCAGCAATTCCATTTCTCAAATAATACTCACGTGTATAAGGTACATAAAAGGCTATTATCAACACTTTGTGTCACAGCAAAATTATAAACAAACTCATTTGCATAGGAAAAGGTTAGACTATACTTATGCTACACGGTTTTATCTAACAGCTAATACCGAGGATATGCATATTGATGTGAAATGATCAGTGCTATTAAATAAAAATGCAAATGTCAAAACAAAGAATACAGTACGACATTTGTTTTTTAAATGTTTTTTAGGTTATTTTTTGTACCGGAGATGGAACTCAGGACCTGTGTTTGAAAGGCAGGCGGTGGAAACATTGAGCTGAATCCCTGGCTCTTTTCTTAGTTTTTAATAGTGGGGATTAAACCCAGGCCTGATGCTTACTAAGAACATGCTTTGCTATTGAGATATCTTTCGCAGCCCTGCCATATGGCTTTAAAAGACACACAAAACTATATTTTTATGTAATACTCTAATAGGAAAGGTAGATCAAAAGAGATTACTGCCTGAGAATATAATTCATGCTTTGTCTGTGATTTCTTTTTTGGGGGGGTACTGGGGATTGAACTCAGGGCCTGATGCTTGCAAGGCAGGTGTGGGTGCCCCAAATGAATCTCCAACCCCTTATCTGCATAATTTTAAATTTTAGAAAATCTTAAGGAATACTTTGAGTTCTAACCTGAAAACTCAGTTCCTGTACTTGTCCAGCTCCTCCCAAGCTCAGTGTGAACACGGCTGTCAGCCAAAGGCGATTCGTAGCTGACCAGGTAATAACCACACAGAAACAAAGAATTGGCCATCTTATTTCCTCTAGTGTCCTTATCTCTTTTTCTTTCTGTCTCTCATCTAATCTACATTACAGATCACTTCATTAATTCTCCTAAAGCAAACAGCAAATATTTACTGACACCATGTACATATTCTGTACTTGCTAACAAAAAGAATGTTTTAGGAAAGTTGACCTGATCAAAATATGAACCATGGGAAGAGAGGGATATGAGAACCAACCCTAACACTGCATAGTGGGCAAGGCATTATTTTACTCTGTTCAAAGTTGTTGTTCAAAAGCTAAACTGGATGTGGTGATGCACATCTATGATCCAAGCACTTGGGAGGCTGAGGTAGGAAGACTGTAGCAAATCTGAGGCTAGCCTGGTCGACATAGTGAGTTCAAGGCCAGCCTAAACTACAAAGTAAGACCCTGTCTCAAAAAAACAAAAAAAAAAGAAAAAGAAAAAAAGACTCAAAGTTGTTGGGGTTTTTAATTTTTTTTTTGGTGGTAATGGAAATTAAACCTAGGGAGCACTGAGCTATATGCCTGTAATTCTAGCTACTTGGGAGGCTAAGGCCTGAGGGTGCCAAGGTGGAGTCTAGTGTGGTCAATTTAACAAGACTGTCTCAAAATAAAAACAAAGAGGCAGAGGCAGGACCATCACTGCTAGTTCAAGGCCAGACTGAGCTACATAGTGAGTTCAAGCCCAGCCCTCACTAGAGTGAAACTCTCTCAAAAATCGAAAAAAGAAAAAGAAAGGGCTAAGAATTCAGCTAAATTTCAATCTAGCCTGGGCAACTTGGAGACTCATTAAAGCCCCATTTGAAAATAAAAAACTAGAGCTGGGCATAGTGGCAAAAGCCTACAATCCCAGCCCTCAGGAGAGGCTGAGGCTGATGCTGAAAGATCAAAAGTTTGAGCTCAACCTGGGGCGCTTAGCAACTGACTTGAGAAACTCTCAAAATTAAAAATCAAAAAGGGGCTGGGATATAGCTCAGTGGAAAGGTTCTAAGTTCAAATCTCATTACTACTCACAAAAAAAGTAATCATGCCCCAGAATGTAGTTTAGAGCCCCTAGTACTAAGCCCAGTTATCAAAAAAAAAAAAAAAAAAAAAAAAGGCTGGGGACAGCTCAGTGACAGAGCCATTTACCTAGTATATGTGTCAAGGCCCTGGGTTCAAGCATTGGGAAAAAAAAGGTTCTGGAGATGGATGGTGGTGATAGTACAATATCAATGTATTTAACATGACTGAACTGAACATTTTATATGTATTTTACCACAGCCTGCTAAGCTCACTAAAAAGAAAAAAAATAGTAACTAAATTACCTTTAAAAACAATGACTCACACCATACCTTACCCAAATCTTCCTGGACTAGACCCTCTCTCCTATGTCCTTTCTTCACAATTGAAATAGACTGTCATCAGTTACAATCTCCTAGTTATAATCACTTTCTACTTACTTCTTACCTCTTGTCAACTTGATTATAAGCATCTTGATAGTGACCAACAAATATCTGCTGTTCAATGATTGGCCTCAGAGGCAAAATCAAGGTGCAAAGGAAATGAGGAACCATAGTAACTGCATTAATGTTAAAAATATTTATTTTCTAAAAGATCACACAAAAGTTGGGGAAAAGAAGGAAGAGGGTGAACTAGCCTACATCAAAATCTGGGCTGAGGAAGGACAAAGAGCTGCCTAAAGAAATTGGTAGCTGGAGCAAACTCATAGAGACTAAGGTAGCTGCTGGCCAGCAGCACCAGCAACCTGGTCAGCCATACCAAAGGCACCAGAGATGCTATAAGGACCACAGAGGTCCCCACTCATTCCTCCTTTTCAGGAAGGGAGAAGCAGGAGCTCACTCTTTAGACATGTTCTTGATGGTCTTGTGCTCCTTCATGGCCTGCTCCCAATGGCTACCATTGAATTCCTCAGTGACCACACTCCGCACGGTGCCTTCATCCAAACAGTGTGGGGCAATTCCTAGGAGAAAGTGACACAGAGAAAGATATGTCCCAAATATGGGTAGAATAGAGAATATACTGGCTTTTGGACAAACCCCCACCTGCAAACATCCTCATCTTACACATCAGAGTCCTGAGAAATATGGTCCAGCTCAAGACCTCAGCTTATGATTCTGACACAGCCTGCTAAGCTCAGGCAGCACTGGTCACAGCTTATGATTCAGCCTTCTGGATCATGGTCTTCACCTGCCACTTGGAGATCAGACTCCTTGAACCAAGGATAGCAAAGACTTGGCATCATTCAAAACCAAGTTGAGTAGAAAAAGTAAAAAAGCTTAGGGCTAGTGCAATCTCTGAAGAATTCTCAGGCCTTTCCTCAGTTTAGATAAAATTTCAAACAATTAAATAGCTCCCCATTTGTATAAAATGTGTGTGTGTGGTACTGGGATGGAACTAAGGGCACTGAGCTTGTGAGGAAGATATGGTGCCACTGAGCTAAATCCCCAGCCCTGTGTAGGATTTTATACTCTTCATTTCCTGGCCCAAAAGATGGGCAGAAAGGAGTCTCCACATGGCAGATGAGGAACCAGTAGGGGCTGCTGAAGAAAAAGGATGGGAAAGGCTGGTATGATATCATGCCATTCCCCTCCTTCTGCCACAAAGCAGATGTTGTTGTCACACCTGCCTCACAGCTCTAAACATCTTCAAACTCTAGTTTCCCCTCAATTTATCTATAACTGGTGAAACAACTGGTTAAGGGCTGGTTTTACATCTCCCAGATCCAAGCAGGAAGTCAAAAGGACCTTGAAGGTTCTCCAGGTTGTATTCTGAACAAAATTTATTTTTCATTTTTGGTGGTACTGGGGATCAAACCCAGAGCCTTGTGCATGCCACACAAGTACTCTACTGCTGAGCTTCACCCCCAGCCCTCTATTTTTATTTATTTATTTATTTATTTTTGGTTCCAGTTATTGAACTCGGGTCCTTGCGCTTGCAAGGCAGGCATCAGAACCACTGAGCTAAATCTCTGACCCTTTATTTTTAAAAGTGATCATCTTCTTTCTAACCTTCAGTGTCAGCACCAGTGACACAACTCTGAAGCACCAATGAATACAATCTGGCTGGACCTGAGAAAGGCATCGCCCTATGGGACTGAGACACTTGATCAGTCTCACACCCACTACTGGAAAGGAGTTCTGATGAAGATCCCTGTTGCTGTTACACATGCCTGCAAAAGCACCTACCCAGGCAGGAAGCAAGCCAAATACACCAGCAACCACCTATCCATTCAGCACCTACACCCCAAGCACCCGGGCCTCTCAGCATCCCTGAGCTTATAGCCCATCCCCTTTTACTCACCAAAGCCTCCAGGGTTGGAGCGGGGGGTATAGAAACTCTGAACACCACATCTCTTACAGAAGGTATGCTGGGCTTTGTGCGTATTGAATGTATAAGTGGTTATGCTCTCGGCTCCCTAGGTAAACACAAACAAATATGCTTTCTCTTTTTACAGAAAGATTATTTTTATGTCATTTAACAAGTAAATCTTGGATGGTGTGGTGACACAAACTTGTAATGCTATTATTCAGGAAGCTGAGGCGGGAGGATAGTAAGTTTGAACCAGGGCTGAGGATTTAGCTCAGTGTTGCCGATACCCACCTTGCAAGCGTAAGGACCCGAGTTTGTTTTTTGTTTTTGTTTTTTTTTTTGGTACCGGGGATTGAACTCGGGTCCTTGCGCTTGCAAGGCAGGCCACCAAACTGCTGAGCTAAATCCCTGGCCCATAAGGACCCGAGTTTGGAAAAAAAAAAAATCGAACCCAGCCTGAGGTTCACAGGAAGTTCAAGACCAGCCTGCACTGGAATACATCACGCAACTTTGTCCAAAAAAAACAAAAACTAAAATTCTTGACCTTGGGAGTGGCTCTGGGGTACAGCACTTCACTGCCATACATGAAGCTCTGGGTTTGACTGCCAGCACCATAATACAGAATCTGTTAAAAGGCTTCTTGGAGGACTCCTTTTGTAAGGCTCTCAGGATTGTGAAGGCAGGTTCCATTTCCCATAAAAGACTAAAAAGCTTCTTGGGGACAGGGACCCATTCATACTTGAGCGTGACAACCCAGGGCTTTTCATAGGGTAACTGCACACAAACCAATCCAACATAGGTCTCTTCTATAGATCTCAGGAAACAATGTCCTGCCAAGGCCAAAGAGTGAAAAATGCCCATTTTCCAGGCCCTAAGGGGAGAGCAGCTCACTAGAGGTAATGGCTTCCCATATTCCCAAACAGTACTGCTCAAGGTCTTAACAGAACTGTTGACTGTATTTGAATTAATCTATAAAGGACAAACTAGAAAAATTTTTGCAAGACAGCATAGAAAAAGTGCAAATTTCCCTACTGTATTAATATGTGTGGCAAAAACCATGAATGGAAAATTTAGAGAAAATGAAAATCAAATCTCTCCTTCACCTATCAAATGATGCCTACACTGATGAACTGCAATGAGATACTTTTCACTGTTGGGTGAAAAATAAAAAATCAAAAAGTTGGTTAACAACACTGACAACTTGTAGAAAAATATACATTCTCACAAGAATACAAAAACTAAAAAAAATTTTTAAATAGAAAATATGCACTCTCACATATCAATCATGGGAATATGAAGTGGTAAAGCATAGCAACATCTACCAAAATATCTTTTTTTTTGTTTTGTTTTTGTTTGTTTTTTTTTTGAGACAGGGTCTCACTATGTAGTTGAGATTGACCTGGAACTCACTATGTAGCCCAGGCTGATCTCGAACTCAGCGATCCTCCTGCCTCAGCCTCCCAAGTACTGGGATTACAGGCGTGAACCACCATTTGGTTCTACCAAAATCTCGTAACAAGCAATTATACTTTTAGAAATTTACCCTACAGATGTATTTGTGTATAGTATTATTCATAAACAAAGACCAGAAAAATTTAAAGTTCTTCAGCTGAGAACTGGTCCAAGCAAAGACAGACCCTAATAAAATGGAATATTCTGCAAGGAATATTCTGTGAAGAGTAAGTGAAAATGCTAAAATAGAGTAATCTCCATGGTTTCAAGATGAAGAAAGCAAGATATAAAAAAATAGGCTGAGTATGTAGCTCAGTGGTACAGCACATGCTCAGCATGCATGAGGCCCTACTAGCTTCAATCCCCACACCACTACAAAAGAAAAAAACAAACAAACAAACAGCTGGGGATTTAGCTCAGTGGTGCCATGCCCACTTCTCAAGCGCAAGGTCCTGAGTTCGATCCCCTGTACAAAAACAAAAACAAAAAATCAACCAAACAAAAAAACCAAATACAACAGGTACAGTTTACCATTTCTATTTTTTAAAAAAGAACACTTAATTGCTTTACTACCTCCTGACTTCCATGAACTACTTCTCCCTTGTGATCCTTGTCTGCCATGCCACCCTGCCTTGGAAACAGCTATGACTGAAACCTCTACAAACCATGAGCCAAATAAACCTTTCCTCCCTTAAAAATATAAATGAATTAATGAATAAATAAATACAAGGATATACACTTATATGTGCTTTTAAATGCATATAAATCTTGAAGAGGTAGCCAAGAAACAGTGATTTTCCCCCAGGAAGAGAAGCTGAGTAGATGAATGGCAGGAGATAGGGTTTCTTATCATTGTTAGGCCTCTTCATACTTCCTTCCTAGTCACCAGACACCACCACAGGAGAGAAAAGCCCTCACCAACTCTGAGTTTAACTGTGTTGTCCAGGCTGGTCTCAAATTCCTGGGCTCAGGCAATCCCTCTGCCTCATCATCCTAACTAGCTGGGGCTACAGGCATGAACCAAGGTGCCCATGAGTTTCCTATAAAAATGGTTCCTTGAGGAGCTATTTCTTACTCCCTATGGAACCAGAAAAGCAGCAAAAGCAACTGCCATGTGATCTCAAATCATCCAGACTTATTATTAGGAAATACCTCACATTTTACTTTACCTCATTGATTAATAAAACCACTTACTGATATCCAGACCCTCATTCCTATATATTTCATGCATCCACTAAACTGACTCCGTGTCCCCTGCTCTCCACAACCTATCACCATCAAAACTTCAACCTCTTTGATTATTTCCCTGACTTTTTGTCCAAGCAGAAATCACCAATGGCCACACTGATAAATCCAGTGGCCACTTCTCTTAATCAATGGATTCTTCTTACCTTGGGACTCTCAGGAACAGTCCTTCCATTTTGAAATATTTGCTCCTGAGGACACCACAGTCTTGCTTTTTTTCCTCCACTGGCCATCCTTCTCAAGCTCTTGTGCTTGCTTCTCTTCCTCTACAAATGCTGCTAGGAGCCAGGGCTGCCCTCATCCCTCTCCCTGTTCTGGCTACATCTCCCCAGCTGACTTTACATATTTCCTACCCCTAAGCAACATCAATATGCCAACAACTTTCAAGTTGGTCGCTACAAATCTGACCTCTCAGTACTCCAGGCTTGTATCTCCAGCTGCCTGCTCCCAATCTCTGTATGAATACTCAAAAGACAAAACACTTCAAAGCAGAACTCTTGATTCCAGTAGCACAGCCATCTTTACCTGCAGGACCTGGTGTCTATTTGACTAAGAGCTCAGGCCCAACATTTTGCATATAACTCCAACTCCTCTTTCTTCCTTATCTTCATATCCAATCCTTTCATAGTTCTATTTACTGTGCTGCTAAAATAGTGGTTCTTCAAGTGCAGTCCATAGACCAGCATCAGTAGTATCACCTGGGAACTTGCAAAACCTGTAGTAGATTCCTGGGCCCATACTCAGACTCTCAGACCTATGGAATCAGGTTAATGTGCCCTGTAAGTGCCTGAGTGCACACTAAGGACTGAGAACCACTGCTCTAGGACATATCTCCAGGTATCTATTTTCCTTCAACTCCATGACTACTCGGCAGATATCTCTCATTTGGCCCACCCAACAACCTCTTGCTTCCCTGCCTCCATACTCACCTTTTTAAACCCATTCCCCACTTCCCAGCCCAATAGAGCTTGAAAACACTGCTTCAGGTCTTATTACCACACTGCTTAAAATCTTCCAGGGTCTGCACACTACAAAGCATAAAACTCTCCCTGTTTATCAGGTCCTGAGTATCTCTCCAACCCTGTCTTAGGCTACTTTCCTCACTCCTGCCCCATGGACTACCATCCACCACACACAGTGCCACTGTTTAGCTCCCAAACATGCCAAGCTCATGCCCCATAAGCCCTTGGCATTTCCCATCCGCTTCATCTAGGCCACATGCTGCCCACCCTACACTGCCTTCACCATTCTGATCTGACTGCCACAGACCTTGCAAATCAATCTAGTAATTCTCTACCATATCACTCAGCCTTAACTCTCTACAAAGCACTTACCCTCTCAGACTTCTAATTTGTCGCCCCATCTACAGAATGTAAATCCAATGAGAACAGGGGCTTTGTCTGTCACACTAACTGCTGTGCTTCAGTGAAACACTGCCTGGCACACAGTAGATACCCAATATTTGAATTAATTTGAATTAATGCTTTGTTTTTTTTTTGGTTTTTTTTTTTTTTGGCTTTTTGAGACAGGGTCTCACTATGTAGCTCAGGCTGGCATTGAACTCACCACGTAGCCCACACTGGCCTCGAACTCATGGCAATCCTCCTGCCTCAGCCTCCCAAGTGCTGGGATTACAGGCGTGTGCCACCACGCCTAGCTTGTATTTACTTTAAAACAAAAAACAGCATGCCAAGGGTGGTGGCGCACACCTGTAATCCCAGCACTTGGGAGGCTGAGGCAGGAGGATCGTTTTGAGTTCGAGGCCAGCCTGGCCTACATAGTGAGTTCTAGGTCAGTCTCAACCACATAGTGAGACCCTGTCTCAAAAAACCAAAAAAAAAGCAAATTGCTCCTTCAATAGGGTGGGACCAAAGAATAAAATAGGGTCCTAGACCAATGACGAATGTAAATGTGCTGCATACCTAAAATGTACCAATAAAAGAATTTAAGAGAAAAATAAAAAGGAAAGAAAACAGGGTCCTAGAACACCAGGAAGACACATAGACAAGCAAATGTGGGGAAGAAGAAAGTTCCTAAAGCACCAAGTCCTGACCCACAAGCCCAGGGCTTCACCTTGTGATGCCTCAGGAACCGCCTGTCACCACCAGTGATGGATATAAAGCTGAAGGAGTGTAGCCTCAGCAGACAGTGGAGAACACTCATTGGCATTCTTCTGGGCTTACAGGAAAGACAAAGGACAGGTATTCTGCCCTCCTGGGGAATGGCATAATTCTACCCACCCTTACCAGGTAAAGTGTTTAAGGGTCAACAGCAAGAAAAGAAAAGGAGATAAAACTGGACATTGTGGCACAACCTACAGTCCCAGATACTTGGAAAAATGAAGCAGTAGGCTCAGACAGGAAGATTGCTTGAGCCTGCCAGTTCAAGGTTAGCCTGGTCAACACAGTGAGATTCTGAGAGAGAGATGGGGGTGGAGAGGAAGGGAGAGAAATAAACTAGCCTGGCCCATCTGGGATTAAACCTTACTAACTCAGAAAAGACTAGGACTCCTATAATCGTCCACTTGTACAGACATTCCTCCCAGGAACTCATTGAGCCCAATTATTCAGTGCAGGGCCCTACTACGCCAGGAATTAGGTCAGCTGTCAAACTTAAAAGTGGTACTTGCCTTGGACACACTCTGTTATAGTGTACATCAAGATATGTCCCCAAAGCCTTACATCTGGGGCTTTTTTGAGATAAGTGTCTCACTGTGTAGTTCAGGCTGGCCTTGGACTATGTAGCCCTTAAACTCAGTGATCCTGTTTCAGCCACTGCTGAGATTACGGGCATGCGCCACCACACCTGCCTATACCTGGGGCTTTTGGAAGGTGACTGGATGGAGGTAGATACTCACTATGCTTATCAGTGATTAGTCCACTAATGAGTTTATAGCTAAATGTGTTGTCAGGAAGTGAAGCCTGGTAAGAAAAGATGGTCAATGGGGACATGTCCTGGAATGGTACTGTATTTCACAGAAAGCCGAGTTTTGTATTAATTTTTGCTTCAAAAGATGTAATTGGGCTTATTTTCCAAGGATGTCTTATTTTTTCATGTATAACATTTGTTCATTTTTTTTTTCAGTACCGGGGATGAAACTCAAGACCCTATTGGCAGCTCTACTGACCTACAACTCTAGCCCTGTTCAATTATTTATGTACAAAAATCTACATTTATTCAAATACAGTCATCTTCTTCTGGAACATCATCTTAACTCTCCAAATCCCAAATTCTGCCCCTAATTTCTTACAACTCTATTTCCTGCAGAACCATTGGCCCCAATCTCTCATGCCCAACAACAGAGTGCTCCTTAAACAAGTATTTCTTGTCCATGGACGCTGTTCACAGTGCATCATTTCAACACATGACATACTGAATTATGAAGATTCACATTAAACACAGCTACATCTGTCTGTTATCAAATGTGCACATTATTCATGCATGGTGTCTGTACTCTGGGCATTCAGCAATAAATCTCAAGTTTATCTGTTTTCACAGGCATTTACTTCACATCCAAATACCCTCTTGGGTATTTACAAATACTTAATTGTGATTTATACTGTTTAAGAATTAATGTGAATATATATTTTTTAATATACATATTATACTTCAGTACATCCATCATGTGTTACAACAGACAAATTTATGTACATCTGTTTGTCTGACATCTTTTTTTTTCTGGCTGGCAATCTTAACTGCACCTTATTTTGGGGCTACAGGTTGTTATAAACCTTCTGGAAAATCATGGTAGGGCTTTTTTTCCAGTTAGGTCTTATTTTTAGAGAAATACAGTACATCTCCCTCCCTGGGTCCTCCTTTCACTCTCTCTGCTTCCTATCCGCCATGTCTTGCACAGCTCTCACCCGTCATCCCTCTCTGCCATGCCATCCTGCCTTGGAGCCAACTATGGACTAAAATATGAGACAAAATAAACTCTCCTCACTAAAGTTGTGGGTGTCAAGTATTTCGTCCCAGCAATGAGAAAAGTACTTAACACACTCGAAGTCTAGTAAGACATAACTACACCGAGACCTGTGATCCCTGTGATCGGGAAAACAGGAATGGAGGATGGAATTAAGCCACACCTTACTCCACACTATCTAGAATGTGCTAAAAGCCTCTTATTAAAGTCTGTATTTTCTGACCTACAGATTTTTTTTTTTTTTTTGAGACAGCATCTCATTATGTAGTTGAGACTCACCTGGAACTCACTTATGTAGCCCAGGCTGGTCTCAAACTCACAGTGATCCTCCTGCCTCAGCCTCCTGAGTGCTGGGAGTACAGGCGTGCGCCACCACACCTGGCCTTACAGATTTTATTTTTAAGAAAACTGATCTCAAAGAAAAAAATCTTAAATTTTCAGCAATTTATACACAGAAAAATTTAACATAGTGTTTATAACTGGGAAAAAACTAGACCTAGGCTCCAAGTTCACTGCTACAAATACAGAGGCAATAAGATGTCAACCAGGGAAATGGCTACTGGGGAGCAGGAGGCTGGGACTTGAGAGATAGTGAAAGGAGGACTTTTCACTAAGTCTTTATATATTTCCTTATATCTTCAGAATTCTGTGCCAAATACAGAAAGAATTCCCCAAAATAATACCGTTACAGTTTAAACAATTATAAACTGAGCATGGTGGCACACACCCATAATTCCAGCACTCTGAGGGACTGAGGCAGGAGGACTATAAATTCAAACAGCCTGGGCAACTTTGTGAGATCTTGTCTCAATTTTTTAAAAAGGGCTGGGGATACAGCTCAGTGTGAAGTCTAAGGCTCAGTCCCAAGTTCTACAAAAAACAAAAAAGAAAGAAAAAAAAACCAACAACAACCAAAAAGAAAATTATGTGATATTTCACTGGGAAATGACAAAAGTAGTCTACATTCGAAAAGAATGGTAAAACTCTACTTTGACAAAAACATGACTATATATGTATATACATTTATGTAGAAAATAATATGCACAAGGACATATATTAAAATACTAACAGTGGTTACCTTAGATAATTTTATTGATTTATTTTTTAATCCTCAGTATTTTAAAATATTTCCATAAGATCAAATAACTTAAGAAATAAAAAAGAAACAATACAACGTTTAAAAGTAAACATGAAACCAGGGTTAAAAGGGAAACCAACCATGTTCTCTGTCCCTATACCCTGCAGAGGGCAGGCTCAAAGTCCTCATGCATGTACTCCTGACCCTGCACTTAAAACACTAACCTTCAGGAGCTTGAATCGAGAAGCTGGAACAATGAAGTGTTTATTCTGCTTCTTCTTGCAAATGCTGCAGCTATAGAAAGACAGAGCAAATTCCAGATTGTGAACAACCATCTGCATTCAGCCCATTATGTTTGGAGACCCAGCTGACTTCAAAGGAGTGCCCCTTTCAGCACCTTCCAAGAAAGGGGGAGCTGAGTCAGATGGACTAGTACCCTGGTGCCTCTGCTACTGTGAGATCTGGGTCTGAGAGGCAGAAATTGAGGCCATGCCTTGGAGCACTCAAAAATCCAGGACCACCAGTACTTTGTTTCACTGCCCACCTAGTTTGTTACAGTGAAGGTCAACATTGGATTTCTCACTTAGAAAACAAGCCTCAGACACTGCTGCAATCTATGCTTCAGACAATCAAACCCAAAATGGATAAGGAAGCTCACGTTTCCTTCTCTCATCTCCACATCAGAAAAAAAAATCCAGCTCCAAGTAAGATAGATCCCTAGAAACACCACATCAGAGAGATGGTGGAGTAGTGAACAGCAGAGAAACAGCCTTTCCAAAATGTGGTGTCCAGACGCTGGAATATAGCAATACGTTCTTCTTTTGTGTGCCAGGGATCGAACTCAGGTCACTGAGCTTGTGAGGCAGGTACCAGAACCACTGAGCTAAATCCCCAGCACAATATAGCAATGTGAAGAGAAGAAGGGAAGTGGGTCCCCAGGACCCAGCAAGGATCTGAAGTGAGAATTGAAACCCACAGGGAGATTGAGAGAGGCTCATGAAAAAAAAAAAAAAAAAAAAAAAAAAAAAAAAAAAAAAAAAAAAACGGTGGTAAGCAGAGCTTTCTCCCTGAGCCCTGACTCACTGCAGGAAAGGGTGGCATGAACTTGCAGATGCATGGTGACTACTGGCTAACCCAGAGACCTCCACAGAGAAATGCACCAGTGGAACAAAGAAATGGATGCAACAGACTGCAAGTGGCTTGTGAGTTACTCAGGTTCAGATGCCTCTCAGGAGAGGGTGACTGGCCAGTAATCATCTTGGAGAAAGGCCAAATGAACTGGGAACTCAGACCAGCTGTGAGCTGGCTCTATCAGGGTTAAGGCAGAACTGAGTTTAAGTTGGCAGGAGGTCCAGGACCCAGTTTAAGCCTGCTGGAAGCAAATGGATTGTTGCAGGCTAAACTGTATCCCAGCCTCACAGCCAGAAACCAGCCTGACCTTCAGAACTAAAGGTACAGACTGGCTTGTTGGGATGAATCACATAGATCTGGACTCTGCCCACTCTATCAGTGACAGCAGAGATACATGCTGAAGTGGTCATATTTTTTTCCTTATTTTCTTGTTTGTGTTTTACTTTTTTCTGGATTATTTTTTCTTGTTTTTATGAGTATGAGCACTGTTTCTAGTTTTGTTGGTTTTTTTTTCTTCTTTACCTGTCTTCTTCACCAGTTTCTCAACGTTCTCATGATGTTCCTGTGTCCTCCAGACTTGCTTTTAATCTCCTCCTCTTCTTCTATTTCTCTATTCCATCCCCCAGTCCCTTTTAAATATCCTCCCCTGAAGGTAAAATCACCACACAGAGAACATATTTACTGTATACAAATTTCTGGTTTGTTTTAGATTTTGTTATATAACCATAAACCTAGTTTATACAGTTAAAAAAGTGGCAAATTAATAGTTACCACAGTTTGTCATTTTCTAGCTGTTTGACACTATTATTATTGCTGATTGTACTACTTTAGCCAAGGTGACATAATTATTCTAATCAGTTCTTCCTGGTGTGCCAAGACTGAGATTGCCTAAGGGTCATAAACAATACTATGGGCCAAAGAACCAGGGGCTAGGCCAAATAGGCAGTAACGTTTTCATCCACAATAAATTAAGAAGTAGAAGCTTAGAAAAATGATGGAAACTGGGAATACCCAAAATGGGAAAGAAATGGAACCCATGAAACAGATTCAAACAGATATTCATGAGATTAAAAATGCACTGAAAGTACACACAGGAGAAGGAGCTAATCTAAGGACAGACTATCAGATGTAGAAGACAGGGTTGTGGTTAATGATTGTGAAAAGAAAGATTTCTTAAAAATAGCAACAGAGGATTTGACCCAGCTATTCCCCTGCTGGATATCTTCCCAAAAGAACTTTAAAAATCATACCACAGTGATATATGCACACCCATGTTTATAGCAGCACAGTTTGTAATAGCTAAAACTTGGAAACAGCCTAATTGACCATCAACTAGAGAATGGATAAAGAAGGTGTGTTTTTTTTTAATAAAATGGAGTACTACTCAGCCATAAAGAATGAGAAACTAGAGACATTTATAGCTAAATGGATGCATATTGAGGCCACAGTCTTACATGAAATTAATGGAACACATATGTGTAAATATCATACAGTTTCTCTGATGTGATAAACTAAAAGTGTAAATGAGGATCAAAATGTATAACTAGTACTGTGTAATAGGAACATAAGGTCTAAAGGTGTAGGTAAAGTGGGAGGGGTAGGGGAAAGGTAAGAAGGAAAAAGAAAAAAATAAGAGAAAAGAAAAAAATGAAAACAAAGTCTTTGTAAATAGGGAAGAAAGGAGGGAGTAAAAGGAGGTTAGGGGAATGGGGAAAAATATGAACCAAGACACGTCATGTAAAGGTACAAGATCCCAATGATGAATGTAACTGTATTGTTTACCTAAAATGTACCAATTAAAAGATTGACTTATAAATAAATAAATAAATAAATAAATAAATAAATAAATAAATAAATAGCAAGGGAGGGCTGGGGATTTAGCTCAGTGGCCCCATTCCTGCCTTGCAAGTGCAAGGTCCTGTGTTTGATCTCTACTACTGAGAAAAAAGAAATAGCAAGGGACCCCCCCCAAAAAAAAAATCAATCCAACAGTTGCTAGATGATGTAAAGAAGAATAACATAAGATTGATCAGACTCAATTAAAAAGCAGGGGCTAGCACAAACAACATTAAAAAAAAATCTGTTCACAGAAATAATGGCGGAGAACTTCCCAAGCAGGGAAGAAGAATTTGACACAGATAAGTGTTGCATACAGAACTCCAATTAGCCATAATCAAAAATATCTACATCAACACAGAGTAGTCAAGATTTCAGAAATTCAGCATGAGAACAAAGTATTAAAAGTTGTCAGACTTTGTAAATAGGGAAGGGAGGAGGGGGTAAAGGGAAGGCAGGGGAATGGGGAAAAAATAAGAACCAAGATACATCATGTAAAGGTACAAGATCCCAATGATGAATGTAACTGTACTGTATACCTAAAATGTACCAATAAGCTTAATAAAAATAAAATTAAAAAAAGAGAAAAGAAACAAATTACCTATAAAGGAAAGCCCATCACAAAGCAGGGGAATGGAAAAAATAAGAACCAAGATACATCATGTAAAGGTACAAGATCCCAATGATGAATGTAACTGTACTGTATACCTAAAATGTACCAATAAGCTTAATAAAAATAAAATTAAAAAAAGAGAAAAGAAACAAATTACCTATAAAGGAAAGCCCATCACAATGACAACAGACTTCTAAACAAAAACCCTCAAGTCAAGGAAACCATGGAGTGAAATATTTCAAGCCCTAAAAGAAAACAACCTCCAACCCAGATTGCTATATCCTACAAACCTACCTTTCAAAATTGATGGAGTAATAATAAAAATAAAATTAAAAAAAGAGAAAAGAAACAAATTACCTATAAAGGAAAGCCCATCACAATGACAACAGACTTCTAAACAAAAACCCTCAAGTCAAGGAAACCATGGAGTGAAATATTTCAAGCCCTAAAAGAAAACAACCTCCAACCCAGATTGCTATATCCTACAAACCTACCTTTCAAAATTGATGGAGTAATAAGATACAGTGGACTTGACTCATGAACTCAATCAGTTCTCAAGGGCTGGTTGTAACTCAGTCAATAGAGCTGAGATGTGGATGTTTACCTAGGTACATGCTATAAGTAACAAGAAGCAGATGAATCTTCCATTAACCCAATTAACCCAACATGTTCATACATATCAAGCCAGTACCTGGAGCGTCTATTGTACTTCCATGACAAAGGACCCATGAAGAAACTCATGACCATCAAACCAGCACTCCAAAGTGTTCTGAAGGACATTCTAGAAAGTGATAACAAGGACTACAACTCCATGAACCTGAATAGAATGAATCCAACAGGCAAGGAAAGCAATTAAATGGGGACGGGGTAACTAACAACAAAAAAATATGACAAGGATAGGTTAATACATATCAGTTATAATCATCAATATAAACAGTCTCAATTTTCCAATCAAAAGAAGCAGACTGGCAGAATAGATCAAGAAGCAAGAGACAACAATATGTTGTGTACAAGAAACACTTCTGTTTTTCTTTTTGGTACTAGGGATCAAACTCCAGACCTTGTGCTTGTGAGGCAGGCAGCAGCACCACTGAGCTAAAACCCTGGCCCAAGAAATCCTTCTAATTCAAAAGAAATTCACAGACTGAAAGTACAACAATGGAAAACAATATTCTATATGACAGGAAAAAAGCAGGGATAGCTATTCTATTTGCAGACAAAGTGGATTTCAAACCAAGACTCATCAAGAGACACAGAAGAGGGACTGGAGATTTAGCTCAGTGGTTCTACTGCCTGCCTCACAAGAGCAATGGTCCTGAGTTCGATCCCCGGCGCCAATAAATAAAGTTACAACCTCTTAAACAAAAAAAAGACACAGAAGGTCACTATATCCTTGTAAAGGAAGCACTCCAAAGAGTAAGAGATAACAATCATAAATATGTATGTGATGAACACTAGCACACCTAACTACATGAAACAAATATTAACAAACATGAAAAATCAAATAAACACTAGTACAACTGTAATGGGAGACCTCAATACCACACTGTCGCAAACAGATAATAAATCAACTAGACAAAAAACTCAACAAAGAAATATCGGAACTCAACCAAACTTTTTTATTGTACCGGGGATCCAACTCAGGACCTTGAACTTGTGAGGCAGGCACGGTGCCACTGAGCTAAATCCCCAGCCCTTGAACCAAACTTTTTGATCAAATGGACTCAGTAGATGTCTACAGAATATTCCACTCCACAACATCATAATACACATTCTTCTCAATTGCACATGGGACTTTCTCCAAAGTAGGCCATATACTAACTCACAAAACATGCTTAAGTAAATGCAAAGGAATTGAAATTATCCCATACATATTATCAGACCATAGTGCAATGAAACTAGAAATCAATGAAAAAGAAACCACAGGTACATCATAAACACTTGCAAATTAAAATAACACCCTTCTGAAAACCATGTGTCACAGATGAAGTTAAAGAAGAATTTAGACAGTTTCTACAATTAAACAATAATTCCAATACAACATACAAGAACTTATGGGAAGCAAACAAAGCAGTCCTACAAGGAAAATTTACAGCAGTAAATCCCCATATCAGGAAAACAGAGCAACCTAATGGTAAAACACAAGATTCTAGAAAAAAAAAGAGCAAGTCAAGCCCAAAGCTCATACAAGCAAAGAAATTATAAAGATCAGAGCAAAAATTAATGCAATGGAAACTAAGAAAACAATGCAAAGAATCAATGAATTGAAGACTTGGTTCTTGGAAAGATTAAGTAAAACTGACAAACCTTTAGCCAACCTTATCAAAAAAAGGAAAGAAAAGACTCAAATCCATGCAATTAGGAATGAAAAGGGTGAAATCACAACAGACCCTGCAGAAATCCCAAAGATCATCAATACCTACTTCAAGAATCTGTATTCTGGGCCAGGGATTTAGCTCAGTGGCACAGTGCCTGCCTGGTAAGCTTGAGGTTCTAAGTTTAATTCCCAGTACTAGAGGGGTGGGGGGAGACAGAGAGAGAACCTGTACCTGTATTTTGGGGGGGATACCAAGGATCGAACTCGGGAACTTGCACTTACGAGGCAGGTGCAGTGCCATTAAGCTAAATCCCCAGCCTGTAGTACCTGTATTCTTTTAAGACAGAAAACAGAAGAAATGGATTCCTAAATACATCTGAATTACTAAAACTGAATTTAAAAAATATAAAAATTCTAAATGAACCAACTTCAATGAAACTGAAGATGTAATTAAAAATCTACAAAAAAATAAAAGGACCTGACAGATTCACTGAATTCTACAAGAAATTTAGAGAAGACCTAATGCCACTACTCCTCAAAGTCTTTAATGAAATTGAAAGGGAAGCAATACTCCCAAATTCATTTCTGGAAGCAAGCATTAACCTGATTACAAACCAGAGAAGGATCCAACCAAAAAATAAAATTACAAGCCAATATCCCTAATGAACACAGATGCAAGAATCCTTGATAATAACTGGCAAACAGAACACAGGAAATCATCAAGAAGGTCATACATCATGACCGAGTTGGATTCATCTCAGGGATGCAGGGGTGGTTCAACGTATGAGAACTAGTAAGTGTACTATACTATATCAACAGAGCCAAGGACAAAAACCTATAATCATCTCAATAGATGTAGAAAAAGTGTCTGACAGAGTCCAACACTCTTAGTCATTCATGATTAAAAAAAAAAAAAAAAAAAAAAAACTACAGATAATTAGAATAGATGTCTTTATCTCAATCTGCTAAAAGCCAGTGGTGCCATGCCTGTCTGGCAAGCTCCAAGTTCTGAGTTCAATCCCTGGTCAAAAAAAAAAAAGTGTCCAAAACTCTCATAAAAGCCATCTGCGATAAAACAACATCCAACATCATACTAAATGGATAGAAACTGAAAGCTTTCACTCTAAAATCAAGAACAAGCTGGGCCTGGTGGCGCACGCCTGTAATCCCAGCACTCGGGAGGCTGAGGAAGGAAGGTCACTGTGAGTTCAAGACCAGCCTGGGCTACACAGTGAGTTCCAGGTCAGTCTCAACTACACAGTGAGACCCTGTCTCAAAATAAATAAATAAATAAATAAAATGTGAGTACCTCAGAATCAAAGGAAAACTACAGAATTTTACATGGAAAACTACAGAATTCTGAAATAGGAGATTGAAGAGGATATCAGAAAACGGAAAGCTATTCCTTGTTCTTGGATAGGAAAAACCAGTATCATGAAAATGACCATGTTTCCAAAATTGCTATAAGGTTCAATGCAATCCCAATCAAAATACCAACAGCATATCTCACAGAATTAGAGAAAACAAAACTCAAATTCATTTGGAACCAGAAGCGATCTGAAATAGCAAAAACAATTCTGGGCAACAAAAGCAAGGCAGGGAGCATCATAATCCTTGACTTGAAATTATACTACAAAGCTACTGTGATAAAAACAGCATAAGGGTGGCAAAAATAAAAGACCAGAGGAGCAATGGAACACACCAGAATATGAAGAAACAACTTCAAACATACTCAGCCACCTTATCTTTGACAAAAGAGCCAAACACTTTCACTGAAACAAAGAGACTCTTTAATAACTGGTGCTGGTAAGGCTGGGGATTTAGCTCAGTGGTGCTACACCTACCTCCCAAGTATAAGGTTTTGAGTTCAATCCCCTGGTAGCAGGAAAAAAAAAAATGGTCCTGAAAAAACTGGCTTTCCACTTACCAAAGGTTAAAATTAAACCTGTATCCTTTGCCATGCCCTAAACTAAAATATAAATGGATCAATGATCTAAATATTAAAACAGAAACACTAAATCTGCTGGAAGACAATATAGGTAGAACTCTTGAAGAAACTGGTACAGGCAAATACTTTTTGAACAAAGCACTGATCACACAGGAAATATCACAAAAAATCAACTGGGATTTCATCTTATTAAAAAGCTTTTGCAGGGCCGGGGATTTAGCTCAGTGGTTTGGCGGCCTGCCTTGCAAGCGCAAGGGCCCGAGTTCAATCCTCGGTACCAAAAAAAAAAATTATAAAAAGCTTTTGCATAGCAAAAGAAACCACCAACAGAGTGAGGAGACAACCCATAATGTGGGAAAACATTTTTTTCCAGTTGTTCCTTAGACACAAATCTAATATCTAGACTAAAGAACCCCCGCAAAAAATCAGGACCCCACCACCACCAAATGTAAAGACCCAATCCAAAAAATCATCATCTGAAATGAATAGACATTTCTCAAGTGAAGAAGTAGAAATGGCAAATAAACATGAAAAAATGTTCAACATCACTGGTCATTCAAGAGATGCAAATTAAAACAACACTGAGATTCCAGCTCACTCCAGAGAGAATGGCTATTAATAAGAAATAAACCAATAATAAATGCTGGAGGGGCTATGGGGAAAAAGGAATACTTCTCCACTGTTGGTGGAAGCATAGACTGGGGCAACCACTGTGGAATTTCCTCAAAAACCTAAAACTAGGGGTTCCATTTGACCCATTCCTCTTTTTGGTTTCTTCCTAAAAGAATTAAAAGCATCACACTACAGCAATATATGCACACTCATGTTTCTAACATCCTAGTTTGCAATAGCTAAATCTTGGAAAAAGCCCAAATGTCCATCAGCAGATGAGTGGCTAAAGAAGACGTGTTTTTTAAAAATATATATATACAATAGAGTACAACTCTTCCATAAAGAAGGATGAGATACAGACATTTATAGCTAAATGGATGGACCTTGAGACCATACACATAAGTGAAATAAATCACACACACGTTTATATACCACAAGGTTTCTCTGGTGTGAAAAAATGTGGAAATACGGACAAAAATGCATTCAATATTGGAAAATGGGAAGAAAGTGTTCAAATGAGAAGGGGAAAATGGGAGGGGGGAAGGAAAAGGAAAGAAGGGACAAGAGAAAAAGAATAGAAGAAAAAATGAAATACAAAGCTTGTGTAAATCAGGAGGGAAAGAGGAGTCGAAGGGAGGGGAAGGGAATGAGGAAAAAAGAAGCAAGATATAGCACATACAGATAAAAAATTTCCCCTGTGATGAATGTCATCATCGTGTATATTTACAATGTACCAATAAATGTTTTGCTTACTAAAAAAAAGAAAAAGAAAATAAATACCACACTAGATATTATGTCAAAATCTGCTCTTTTCAATCCACATTTTTGTGTGTGTTCAAGTGGTGGGGATGGTAAATCCAAGGCCTCCCAATACTAAGCATGTCTTCCACTTCTGAGTTAATACTCTAGGCCCTTTAACAGATCTAGAAGTTTATAGAACCCTTTAACAGATTATGCAACAGTACTTCTTTCCCTAGCTGGACTCTACTGTTATCAGCCTGGTTGATTCTCCATTTGTGTAATTCCACAGTATTTATTATTCATATATAATTCAGGTATCATTTTAGAGGCAAAAAGGACTAGACACTGTTGAATAATTACATACATGCCAACTACCAGTCCAAAAGTCACAGCCTGTTTTCTTGGTCTTTCACAATGAAAAGGAAGGTGCCAAGAAGCAGATCTTTCACAGATCCTGGCAGTACCACCTGCTCGTGCCAAGAACAGAAGAAGAAAGCCAATGCCTAGGGTGCCTCCAGGTGGATACATCCTCCCCTAATTTATGTCCATCTCTGCTGTCTGGACTCCTACAAAGATCCTGTCCATGGCTTCCTAATCAGTGCCCAATCTGACCCCAGTTCTAAGCTATCCACCCACAATTCATCAGTGGGTCAGTCTAAGCAGTAATTCTGGCAATCACAAGCCCTGAGGAGCCTGCTCTGTCACCAGCAGCTGTTCCATAGCCCTATGGAGTATCTACGCAGGTATCAGCTCCAGAACACACCTATGTATATGTAAATGTATATGCACACACACGGCACGCTATGTGTGTGCCTCACCTCACCTTTTAAAAGTGTTTATTATAAATTTCAAGCCATATACAAAAAGAAAGAATAGAACAATGAACCCTTATGTACCCTCCACCTGACTTCAACAATTATCAGCTCATGGCCAATGTTGTTTCATCCATACCCCAACTCCCTGGGTTATTTTGAAGAATTGAGTTTTAATTCTTCAATTCTTTTAAGCTGATTTAGGAGAAGAAAATACTCACTTGCAGTCAAAGATGTGTAAATCTGCTGAGGCCCAAACTTCAAAACGAACTGCTCCACAGTGGCAGCCTCCTGTGTGCTTCACCAGGCCCTGGTATTCACTAAATGAAACAAAATCAGAACAATAAGAACTTCTGAATAGGCAGGGCCTAGGGCATGGCTCCTGCATTCACTTTGCATAGGAAGAAAGGCAAGATAGGACAAAAGTCTTTTCTATAGGGCACCCAATGCATTTCTGTTTTTAAGGGGCCATAGCCAATTTTACAAAAGAATGGATTAAAATAAATAAATAAATGGATTCAGTGCTGTCTTTGTCTACGAGTTCTCTTGGGGCTCACTTCTTAAATTTTCACAAAAAACATTCCCAGAATTGGGGAAATTAGGAAAGAGGAGGATCCTAATTCTATCACAGAAATGCTTTTACTTATATACCAAATGTTTAACAAATATCTTTGTAAGCTAAGCACCAAAGAGAGAGCAGTACACAAGATACAGCAGACATGGTTGCTGCCCTTACAGACTTTAAGCAGCCATCAAATTAACTGCCCACACAATTTTTAATTATGATTGCGATAAAGGCTGTTATGAAAAACAAGGTAGCTCAGAAAAGCCTCCTGAGGCAGTTGCAAAGGCTCTTATAATTTGGCTCTCTCCTACAGTACATTTTTTGTACATAACTGTGTATGTATATGTATATTTATTACATATAATTTTGAGCCTTTTAAAACTTATGGAAGCCAGGCCCATAGCCGAACATTAAAATTTCATTAATATCGTCAAATTACTTTCCACAATGACTGAATATTCTCACCAATAATGAAAAGATTTCACTGTATCCTTTGAATAATCACTAGAAAAACAGTTCTCCGAAGCTTTGTTATATTTGATTAAGACTGAATGTTATTTCAGGTTTCTTTACAAGTTAATGTATTTAATTTTTATTTACACATACAAATGCTTATTGTGAAAAATCCTAACAGTAACATGTGAAAAATCCTAACAGTAACGTATTTGTTAATATTCAAAGCGAGAGCCTCCTGTAATCTTTACAAGAAGGATCTGGTATTTGCCATATATTCTTCCCAATTTTTCCTACACAACTTTTTGTGTTTGTTTAACACAGGGTCTCACTATGTAGTTCAGGTTGGCCTTAAACGCACTACTAACCCAAACTGTGGTGATTCACCAGCCTTGGCCTCCCAAGTGCTGAGATTACAGGCGTGGCCACCACAACCGGCTCTATACAACATTTTAACAAGAAAATTACAGTTACAGTGTTACACATTTTCTTGCACTGAAGTTAATTTAGTGGTCTCAAGGACACACGCCAATCTGATGGATGAAAAATACCACATCTTCACATTAACATTTTAATCCTTTTCTGAACCATTCTGTTTTATGACAAAAAAATTACCTCAAATTTGAGTTTCACATTTCTAAATAGCTTTATACCCCTTAGACTGTACACCTAGCAGTAGCTGGCACACCTCAGATGCTCAAAAAGTTGTCAATGGATGAGTATTTTTAATGTTCAGTTTGTATTTGAAGATGAAGTGAAGCACACAGAAATCCAAATAAATACTCCACCTCTGAGAAAACATCAAAACTAAGAGAATGTCTTCTGGAACAAGGACAAAGGATCGATTTTTTGTTCAACTAAAGGGGTAATTCTCAAGTAGTTAGGCAACTGTTAGATTATTCTTGTCTTTTCCTCCCTCGTGATTTGAAATAAAAACACAACACTGAAATATATTACTAGGGTATTAAAACATTTATCCGTAGTTTAATGGGGCAGTAATCCACATCACATTTGGAGAACAGAAGGCAGCTCTTGCCAGAGTATATAACAGCTCTTTTCAAAACCATAAACCTGTGGGACGCTCGGCCTTCTAAGAGGCTAGAGGTTCATTCCCTTCAAAAGCAGAGATGAAGGAATGAAAAAGGGAGCAAGCCACCCGGGGCCCCAGTTGTGGAGAACACAAAGCCTCGCCCTCGCATCCCGGCCTAGGCGTCCCAAGCTCGCTTTGCGCGCGCTTCTTCCCTAGATCAATAGCTCCCGCCCCTCCTCCCAGCAGCCTGGAACAATAACGGGACTTCGCTCCTCTCCACGCCTCTAACGTTCCCCCCAAAACACATGTGCAACGGCACAGAAAAAGGGGGGCTTCGGGTACGTGGGAAATCGTGGGAGCCCTGTCCTTTTCACGAGTGAAGGACCCCCGCGCCCTCCCTCAGGCGAGCCCCGCAGCAGGTCCCCGGGCCGCACTCAGAACTGGGACCAAAACCGGTGCTTAGCGGGATCCGCGTCTGCGCAGTTACATGGCAGGCGCGGGGCTGAGAGGAACCCGCAGCCGGTAAACCGCAGGGACACCGGGAAGGCGAAGGCGAGCCCAGCCCGGTCCGGTCCGGTCCGGTCCGGGGCTGTAAACCAGCTCCCAGAGGGGAAAGTGAGGAAAGGCTCCTCGGCACGAGGGAGGGCGGAGGTCGGGAGGCGAATTCCAGCCGTGCTGGGAGCACCCGCCACAGACCATGGCGGCATCGCAGACCC